TGTAATCAACGTATAGTAGCTCAAATTTAAACGACAACCCACACATCTCGTGGGAAAAAAAAAAGACCATTAAAAAGAGAAGCTTTGTGAAGAGGATTATATATATGAACATACTGATATTTAAAAAAAAACATACTGACATTTTGAGGTTTGGTTGGTCAGAAAGGAAAAACATATATAAAAGATTACACCTTATCAATACTTATGTATGGAACAATCCTTAAAAAATGAAATAAATCCACAATCCAAATTACTTATAATTGTTTTAAAATACATAAAATCACAAAACGACTCCATTACCATTTTCATGAGACAAAAATAACAAACAAATTTGTAAATAACAAACCCGGGCATAGTCCGGAATATCCTCTATTAAGTATATAACACACAGATAAAATAAGCATAAACCTGGTCGATACAGAGAAAGTCTCCATGTAGAAATGTCATTGTCGTCGAAGTAATAAAATTACGTTTTATCTAGATTTCATGGAAACTCCGTCCGAGGTGTGTTTCCCATTTCGAAAACCGAAATTCATTGGAAACTCCACAGAAACGTGTTTCCTAAAACATTTTAATTTGGAAACGCGTTTCCTAAAATATTTTAATTTGGAAATTCGATGGAAACTTTAATTCCGTTTTGGAAACGTGACGGAAACTCGTTTCCTAGAAATCTCAAATTGAAAACACAAAGAAAATGTTCGATTTAGTTTTGGAAATGCGATGAAAAATTGTTTCTTACGTAATAATTAAATAGTTTGGAAATGTAAGTATATATATAATATTTTTATAGATTAAAAACAATAAAATTATGAAAGATTGCGTTTGGTATATAGGTTAAAAACAACAAAATTATTTTACTTTTTGTTTTTGTTAAGGTTATTTAATATTTATGTATATAATTTTTTTGTTCAAACTGTTTTAAATCTTGTTTTTGATATTGTTGATTCATATATATATATGTGTGTGCGCGTTTCCAAAACGTATCCGTTTCCTAATTTTTTTAGAAAAATCGTTTTCACATTTCCAAACGTTTCGTTTCCACATGTCCGTTTCCGTTTTCATGTAACTTAGCGTATTATAGAACAAATACACAAATTCATTCATTCATTACCTTTGTATTTTCTCTCACTTCCAAAACAAATACTACTACAGTTACTTGAAAACAAAATGAAAATTACCATAAATGGCGAAACTAAAATTTTGATTTTATATTCACTTGGAATAGAAATTTTGCTTTTAAAAGCGACATGGCCAGATAGTTTTTAACTTTCAGACCACATGTGACGTGCATGACTGAGTTTTTGTCTTCATAGATCTCTGCGTTTATCTCTCATCCTGTGTCACACTTTCCATATCAGCACGTGGATCGATCTACACGTGACACACTCTGTATCCAATCGTTTAATCCACAAAAATA